AGGGCGTGGAGGAGGGGTGTGGGTTAGGGTGTGGAGGAGGTGTGAATGGAGGGCGTATGGATGGCGTGGAGGAATGGGCGTTGGATGAGTGTATGGAGGGCATGGAGGAGGGGTGTGGGTATGGGCGTGGGGGAGGTATTGGAGGAGGTGTGGGTATGGAGGGCGTGGGGGGTGGTATGGAGGAGGGTGTGGGTGGGGAGGGGGGGGAGGTATGGCGGGCATGGAGGAGGGGTGTGGGTAGGAAATGGAGGGCATAGATTGGGTATGGAGGGCGTGGATGGGGTATGGGGGCATGGAGGAGGGGTGTGGGTATGGAGGGCGTGGGGGAGGGATATGGAGGGCATGGAGGAGGTGTGAGTATGGAGGGCGTGGGAGGGGTGTGGGTATGGAGGGCATGGAGGAGGGGTGTGGGTATGGAGGGCATGGGGAGGTGTGGGGTAAGGGCATGGAGGAGGGTGTGTGTATGGAGGGCGTTGGGGAGTATGGAGGGCATGGAGGAGGGGTGGGTATGGAGGCATGGAGGAGGTGTGTGTATGGAGGGCGTTAGGGAGGTATGGAGGGCATGGAGGAGGGGTATGGAGGGTATGGAGGGTGGGGGAGGGGAGGGGTGATGGAGGGTGTGTGGGTATGGAGGTGGAGGGGAGGAGGGGTGGGGTATGGAGGGCATGGAGGAGGGGTGTGGGTATGGAGGGCATGGAGGAGGGGTGTGGGTATGGAGGGCATGGAGGAGGGTGTGGGTATGGAGGGTATGGGAGGGGTGTGGGGAGGGTGTGGGGGATGGAGGGGTGTGGGTATGGAGGTATGGAGGAGGGGTGTGGGTATGGAGGGCAGGGGGGAGGGGTATGGAGGGCGTGGGGGAGGGGTGGGGTATGGAGGGTGTGGAGGAGGGGGTGTGGGTATGGAGGGCATGGGGAAGGGGTATGGAGGGCGTGGGGGAGGGGTGGGTATGGAGGGTGTGGAGGAGGGGTGGGTATGGAGGGCGTGGGGAGGGGTTTGGGAGAGCATGGAGGAGGGGTGTGGGTATGGAGGACGTGGGGGAGGGTATGGAGGGCATGGGGAGGGGTGTGGGTATGGAGGGCGTGGGGGAGGGGGTGGTGGGGTGGGGATGGAAGGGCGTGGGGGAGGGTATGGAGGGCGTGGAGGAGGGGTTTGGGTATGAGGTGGGGAGGGGTATGGAGGGCATGGAGGAGGGGGTGTGTATGGAGGCATGGAGGAGGGTGTGGGTATGGGTGGGGGGAGGATGGAGGCATGGAGGAGGGTGTGGGTATGGAGGATGGAGGAGGGGTGTGGGTAGGTGGTGGGGTGGGGGGAGGGGGTGTGGGGGTGGGGGGAGGTATCGAGGGGCATGGAGGGGGGGTGGGTATGGAGGGCATGGAGGAGGGGTGGGGTATGTGGGGGGGAGGGGGTGGGTATGGTGGGGGGTGGGGAGGGTGGGAGCATGGAGGGAGGTGTGGGTATGGAGGGCATGGAGGAGGTGGGGTGGAGGCGTGGGGAGGGGTGTGGGTATGGGGGGGTGTGGGGGAGGGGTAATGAGGGCATGGAGGAGGGGTGTGGGTATGGAGAGCATGGAGGAGGGTGTTGGTATGGAGGGTGTGTGGGGGTGGGTATGGTGGGCGTGGGGAGGGGTATGGAGGCATGGAGGAGGGGGTGGGTATGGTGGGCGTGGGAGGGTATCGGGGCATGGAGGAGGGTGTGTGTATGAGGGCGTGGGGAGGGGTGTGGGTATGGTGGGCGTGGGGAGGGTATGGAGCATGGAGGAGGGTGTGGGTATGTGGGCGTGGGGGAGGGGTGTGTGTATGTGGGGCGGGGGAGGGTATGGGAGCATGGAGAAGGGGTGTTGGTATGGAAGGTGTGGAGGAGGGGGTGTGTGTATGGAGGGCGTGGGGAGGGTATGGAGGGCATGGAGGAAAGGTGTGGGTATGGAGGGGTGGAGGAGGGTGTGGGTATGGTGGGCGTGGGGAGGGGTATCGAGGCATGGAGGAGGGGTGTGTGTATGTAGGGCGTGGGGAGGGGTATGAGCATGGAGGAGGGGTGTGGGGTATGAAGGGTGTGGAGGAGGGGTGTGGTGTAGTGGGTGGAGGAGGGGGTGTGTATGTAGGGCGTGGGGGGGTGTGGGTGCGCGTGGGGGAGGGGTGGGTATGGAGGGCGTGGGGGAGAGGTATGGAGGGCATGGAGGAAGGGGTGTGTGTATGGAGGGCGGGAAGGGTGGGTATGGAAGGCGTGGAGGAGAGGTGTGGTGTATGGCGGGTGTGGAGGGAGGGATGTGGGTATGGAGGGTGTGGAAGAGGGGTGTGGGTATGGAGGGCGGGGGAGGGGTAGGTATGGATGGCGTGGAGGAGGGGTATGGAGGCATGGAGGAGGGTTGTGGGTATGGAGGGCGTGGGGGAGAGGTATGGAGGGCGGAGGAGGTGTGGGTATGAAGGGTGTGGGGGAGGGGTGTGGGTAGGGAGGGCCTGGAGGAGGGGTATGGAGGGCGTGGAGGAGGGGTGTGGGTGGAGGGCGTGGGGGAGGGTATGGCGGGCATGGAGGAGGGGTGTGGGTATGGAGGGGCGGGTGGGGTGGGTATGGAGGGCATGGAGGAGGAGTCAGTATGGAGAGAGGAGGAGTGTGGGTATGGTGGGCATGGAGGAGGGGTATGGAGGGCGGGGAGGGGTGTTGGTATGGAGAGCGTGGAGGAGGGGGTGGAGGACATGGAGGAGGGAGTCAGTATGGAGAGTGTGGAGGAGGGTGTGGGTATGAAGGGCGTGGTGGGGTGGGTATGGAGGGCATGGAGCAGGGGAGTCAGTATGGAGAGTGTGGAGGAGGGGTGTGGGTATGGAGGGTGTGGAAGAGGGGTTTGGGTATGGAGGGCGTGGAGGAGGGGTATGGAGGGCATGGAGGAGGGGTGTGGGTATGGAGGGTGTGGAGGAGGCGTGTCGGTATGGATTGATTTGATTTTGCCGCTTACAGCGGCTACTTAATTGTGCACCCCACACTCATCCTGTGAGCGGTAGCGCAAAAGGATTACAGAGTAGAGTTTACAACAGGTCATAATAATTAACCCCCGTTGTCAAATATATTATGGCATTGAATGTTACACAGTATTCTGCCCCTGGTTGCAGTAGTTTTTGCGCTATTTAGAGCTCGGGAGAAGCAACGTTAAATAAATACACCACCGTCCATCACATTTCCAGTATCATCGCATTCTGAAGAAGGTAATGGAGAATAATATCAACAGGAAAACATAAGTTGAGGTGTTGTGCTGACTGACTGCTCTCTGCTCCTATTGGCTGTAATTTGGTGGGTTAAAGAATAGTCCACCAATCATAGTTAAGTTAGGGACTGCTGAAAGTATATAACATACAGTGTATGACACGACGGTTAAGCATGTCGTAGGGCCCATCGGGACCCTTGGTATGGTCCCTGGGGTCGGCGCCAGCTCTGCGAGGTCTGCTGTCCCTGGCTACCATCCCGGAGACGGCCCCTGGGTGCGTCCCTGTCTCTGGGAGGGCCCCAGGGAGCGCCGCTGTGCCTCGAGGGCCCCTGGGGGCGCCGCTGTCCCTGCCAGGTCCCCTTGGAGCACCGCTGTCGCTGGGAGAACCCCTGGGAACGCCATTGCCCCTGGCAAAGTGCCTGGGAGTGCCGGCGTTTGTGGGAGGGCCCCTGAGGGCGCTGACGTCCCTAGAAGGGCCCCTGGGAGCACTGGTATCCCACGGAGAGCCCCTGGTGGGGCCAGCTTTCCTGGCAAAGCCTCTGAGGGCCCCATCGTCTCTGGCAAGGCCCCAGGGGACACCAACGACCCTTGGAGGACCCCTTGGGGTGCTAACGTGCCTGGGAGGGCCCTTGAGCCACCGATGGCCTGTGAGTGTCCCTGATGGTGCCACCGCCTCTGACAAGGCCCCTGGGGGCACCACCGCCCCTTGAAGGGCACCTGGAGGCACCGATGTCCCTCAGAGGACTCCTGGGACGCCGCTCTCAATGGAAGAGTCCCCAATGTGCCGCAGTCCCTGGGAGGGTCCCTGTAAGCGCTCCCGTCCTTGGGAGGGTCCCTGCAAGTGCTCCCGTCTCTGGGAAGGCCCTTGGTTACAGTAGTTTTGCGCTATTTAGAGCTCTGGGAGAAGCAACGATAAATAAATACACCGCCGCCCATCACATTTCCAGTATCATCGCATTCTGAAGAAAGTAATGGAGAATAATATCAACAGGAAAAAATAAGTTGAGGTGTTGTGCTGACTGACTGCTCTCTGCTCCTATTGGCTGTAATTTGGTGAGTTATAGAATAGTCCACCAATCACAGTTAAGTAAGGGACTGCTGGAAGTATATAACATACAGTGTATGACACGACGGTTAAGCATGTCGTAGGGCCCATCGGGACCCTTGGTATGGTCCCTGGGGTCGGCGCCAGCCCTGGGAGCTCTGCTGTCCATGGCTACCATCCCAGAGAGGGCCCCTGGGTTCGTCGCTGTCCCAGGGAGGGCCCCTGGGTGCGCCACCGTCCCTGGCAAGGCCCTGGGAGCGTCGATGTCCTTGGGAGAGCCCACGAGAGCGCCGCTGTTGCTGGGAGAGCCCCTGGGAGCGCGCCATTGCCCTTGGCAAAGCCCCTGGGAGTGTTGCCGTTTCTGGGAGGACCCCTTGGAGGGCCACTCTCCCACGGAGAGAACCTGGGGGCGCCAGCACCACTGGCAAGGCCCCTAAAGGCGCCACTGCCTCTGGCAAGGCTCTTGAGGACGCCACCGCCCATGGTACGGGCCTGGGAGAGATCCCGTCCCTGGGAGGATCCCTGCAAGTGCTCCCGTCTCTGGGAAGGCCCTTGGTTGCAGTAGTTTTGCGCTATTTAGAGCTCTGGGAGAAGCAACGTTAAATAAATACACCACCATCCATCAATCACATTTCCAGTATCATCGCATTCTGAAGAAGGTAATGGAGAATAATATCAACAGGAAAACATAAGTTGAGGTGTTGTGCTGACTGACTGCTCTCTGCTCCTATTGGCTGTAATTTGGTGGGTTACAGAATAGTCCACCAATCACAGTTAAGTGAGGGACTGCTGGAAGTATATAATATATATATGACACTATGGACAAGCTTGTCATAGGGCTCCTGGGGACCCTTGGTACGATCCCTGGGGTCGGCGCTTCCCCTGGGAGGGTCCCTGGGAGCTCCGCTGTCCATGACATGGCCCCAGTGGACGCCACCGCTCCTGAGAGGGTCTCTGGGAGTGCTGCTGTCCCATGGAGAGCCCCGGGGAGCGCCGCCGTCCCTGGCAGGGTTCCTGGGAGCACGGCTCTCTCTGGGAGGGCTCCTGTGAGTGCCGATGACCCTCAGAGAGCCCCTGGGAGCGCCAGTGTCCCTAGCAGGGCCCTTAGTGGTGCCAGCGCCCCTGGCAGGGCACCTGCAGGCGCCAACGTCTCTGGCAGGGCCCATGGAGGCGCTTCCGTCCCTGAGAGGGTCCCTGGGAGCGCCGCTGGGCATCAAGGGCCCCTGGGGGTGCCGCTGTCCCTGCCAGGTCCCCTTGGAGCACCGCTGTCGCTGGGAGAACCCCTGGGAGCGCCACTGCCTCTGGCAAGGTGCCTGGGAGTGCCGGCGTTTGTGGGAGGGCCCCTGAGGGCGCTGCCGTCCCTAGAAGGGCCCCTGGGAGCACTGGTATCCCACGGAGAGCCCCTGTTGGCGCCAGATCCCCTGGCAAAGCCTCTGAGGGCCCCATCGTCTCTGGCAAGGCCCCAGGGGACACCAACGACCCTTGCAGGACCCCTGGGGGTGCTAACGTGCCTGGGAGGGCCCCTGAGCCACCGATGGCCTGTGAGTGTCCCTGATGGTGCCACCGCTTCTGACAAGGCCCCTGGGGGCACCACCGCCCCTTGAAGGGCACCTAGAGGCGCCGATGTCCCTCAGAGGATTCCTGGGACGCCGCTCTCAATGGAAGAGTCCCCAAGGTGCCGCAGTCCCCTTTAGGGTCCCTGCAAGCGCTCCCGTCCTTGGGAGGGTCCCTGCAAGTGCTCCCGTCTCTGGGAAGGCCCTTGGTTACAGTAGTTTTTGCGCTATTTAGAGCTCTGGGAGAAGCAACGTTAAATAAATACACCACCATCCATCACATTTCCAGTATCATCGCATTCTGAAGAAGGTAATGGAGAATAATGTCAACAGGGAAACATAAGTTGGGGTGTTGTGCTGACTGACTGCTCTCTGCTCCTATTGGCTGTAATTTGGTGGGTTAAAGAATAGTCCACCAATCACAGTTAAGTAAGGGACTGCTGGAAGTATATAACATACAGTGTATGACACGACGGTTAAGCATGTCGTAGGGCCCATCGGGACCCTTGGTATGGTCCCTGGGGTCGGCGCCAGCCCTGGGAGCTCTGCTGTCCCTGGCTACCATCCCAGAGAGGGCCCCAGGGTGCGTCGCTGTCCCAGGGAGGGCCCCTGGGTGCGCCACCGTCCCTGGCAAGGCCCTGGGAGCGTCGATATCCTTGGGAGAGCCCATGTGAGCGCCGCTGTTGCTGGGAGAGCCCTGGGTGCGCGCCATTGCCCTTGGCAAAGCCCCTGGGAGCGTTGCCGTTTCTGGGAGCACCCCTTGGAGGGCCACTGCCCCAGGGACAGAACCTGGGGGCGCCAGCACCACTGGCAAGGCCCCTGAAGGCGCCACTGCCTCTGGCAAGGCCCTTGAGGACGCCACCGCCCCTTGAAGGGCACCTGGAGGCGCCGATGTCCCTCAGAGGACTCCTGGGACGCCGCTGTCACTGGAAGAGTCCCCAGGATGCCGCAGTCCCTGGGAGGGTCCTTGCAAGCGCTCCCGTCCTTGGGAGGGTCCCTGCAAGTGCTCCCGTCTCTGGGAAGGCCCCTGTTTGCAGTAGTTTTTGCACTATTTAGAGCTCTGGGAGAAGCAACGTTAAATGAATACACCGCCGCCCATCACATTTCCAGTATCATCGCATTCTGAAGAAACACAAGTATTCATTCTGTGTTTAGTTCTATACATAAAGGGTAACTTATTCACAAATGCGTGAGTACAGGAGTGTGAGGCAGTATGTCTAGCCTCACACTTTGTTATTCACATTTACGTGAGAAGTATTCAAGCACATTGCGTATTTGGTTCTGTACATGAGAACTGATATAGTTACTAAGTGCAAAAGAGTGGATACAATCTTAATATGTCGGCTATCTTGCCATTAGAGATGAAGTGTTGTGCCATTTCACACACAGTGTGCTTGGACCTGTCCCTAAAAGGTTCTATCTTCACAGTCGAGGACGTAGTGTTCAAGTGTGTGGCCATATGTATGGCCACACACTTTACATTTAGTTTTGTTTACATCTGCTTGAGGAACATACTGCCAAAGGTACTTATATCCTAACCTTAATCTAGCGGTTACATCATCTTGTAATCTAGTGATCTTGTTACTTGCTCCATATACATGTTTCACTTGATACATCTCATCATGGTAAACTATGGATCGACTAGTGCCTGTTTGCACTAGTCTACTTGCGTCACACTCATCAATAAGTTCTTTCCTAATTACAGTTTTAAGGGTTCTTTTTGACAGACCCAAATTGTATTCAATGGTGTCTTTGTTAGACGCGAGTTTGGCGAGGGCATCAACTCTGTCATGTTTTATGAGGCCTATGTGAGGGGAACCACAACAGTTTGACCTTGACACCCCGGTCAACAAGACAAGCATATTAGTGTCTGGCTTCAGAGCGTGACAACCTGAGTCGAGGGTGTCAAGGGCAAGTAGTGAGGATGGAGAGTCAGTGATGATGAGACTGTCAGTAACAGTGGTTTCAATGAACTTAATAGCTGTGAGTATGGCAACTAATTCAGTTTGTAGAGTGGATGCCCAGTTGTTAATTCTAACTCCTTTCTCAATTATATTACCGTCAGGTTGAGTCACAACAATAGCACTTCCAGCCCTCCCACAGGCAGTGTTAAGAGATCCATCAGTGTAGATGGTCTGTGCGATATTATCATCAGTCTGTAGTGTGTGTATGTGTTCAAGAGCTCTCAATTTGGCAGTGTGTTGGAGTTAAATGCTTTGCATAATTAATTTTTTAGGCGGGTACGTCGGTATTGTGATATCGAAGGGAACTGTCCGCCAGGGTGGCAGGAAGCGCTGTGGTGTCTCAACTTTGTACAGGCAGTCTAGTCCAAACATCTTCATATGTGTAGCTGTAGTTTGGATCCATTTAGACTCAGCAGTCCCATGGTTCATACATTCTAACAATTTTAAGGAAACAATGTTATCAGGATCACCACGCAGAAGCCTCAGGGCTATCATGAGGTTAACTTCAATTATTCTATCTTTAACACTGGGTATTCCTAGTTCTTTCCTCATATTAAGTACTTTAGTGCTCATGGGACATCCTAGGATAATTCTGAGGCTTTATTTTGCATTTTCTCGAGCTTGTCAACGCCTTTCCCGTCACGAAGGACCAGGGCTGGTGCGTGGTAATCTATCAGAGATCTTATATAGCCTAGGTACATTGTTTTAACAATTCTAATATTAGCACCATAGTGTGGGCTGTACCCCGCTACACTTCTAAGAGGTCTCAGTCTGTCTGTACATTGGCGGGTTAGCTGTTGTATGGCAGGTAGGGTACAAGGGACGGAAACACCAAGATATTTAAAAGAAGAAACAGTCAATAGTGTTGTTACCTATCTTGAACTTGGCGGGGCCGCGTTTGCGGTTACCAGCTTGTTTGTTGAACACCTTAGTTTTCTCAGTGGAGATAATAAGACCGAAGTTCTCACAGGCTGCGTATACATGGTTCAGGGTGGTTTGCATTTCACGATGAGTTTTAGTATGTACAAGAATATCATCAGCATAGCTGATTGAGATATTGCTGGGGTTGTCTGGTATTAAATTTAATAATGCATTCATAAGAACATTGAACAAAGTGGGGCTAAGTACTCCACCTTGAGGGGTACCAAGTTGCATACCTTTAACTTCACTTTTGTAACCCTGAAACAGTGCAGCAGCCCTTCTGTTGGTTAGGTAACCACTTATCCAGTGTAACAGCCTACCTCCTATATCCATTTTGGCTAGTTCGTACAATATCAGTTGCCTATTGGCAATATCAAATGCAGCTTTTAGGTCAAGAAATGTGGTGTATCTGTGCCTTTCATCACCATGCACAGTTAGGAATGTGGTGATGCAATTATGTACACCTTTACCATGGGTGAAGCCATTTATGTTAGGAGACATGTGTTCTCTGATTCTATATAACAGTCTGCCAAGAACCATCCTCTCAAAGGTCTTACACAGGCAGCTGGTTAGTGATATGGGACGAAAAGCATCAGGCTGTCCTGGTTTCGGTATTGGTACAACAATACTGCTGGTCCATGCTGTGGGTAGTTGGCCCTCGGCATGACTCATATTGTACATTACCAACAATGGATTGCCTGGCACGCGCCTTAGTAGTCTAACGATGTTGTAGGTGACTCCGTCCTCTCCAGGGGAAGTAGACCTACCCCTGGCGAGGGCGGCGTCAAGCTCCCACTCAGTATATGGAACATCACACTCATCGTGCTGTTTGCCCAGCATAAAGTTAGTGAGATTACTTCTCTCTACAGACTTCGCATCAAGGAGTCCCCGAGTCCTAGCTGGTAACATGTCATAGCTAGACACATGAGCCCACTTTGTTATTAGCTCAATCGACTTTTGCAGAGGGTTTGGATGGGAGACGTGTCTACTGTTTTTACCTCTGATGTTTCCAGGCTTTGCTGAGGGATGTATGTTGGTTCAGGCTGTTGACATATGTCTCCCATGCATTTTGTCTGAGTTCGTTTACACGTTCCCTGACAGCAGCAAGGGAAGCTTGATACAATTGTAACATTTGAGGTGTTCTTATTTGTTTGTAACCCTTACCCACCCTCCTGACCCTAGCCCTGAGTTTTTTCAGCTCAGGATCATCATAGCACTGCTGTTGCCTGTTCCCATTATGCTGACCACGTTTTCTCCTTTTTTTGGTGGAGGCATTGTTGGTGAAGTATGCATAAGTCCTATCTATCAGATCGTCATGGAAACTTTGGTAGTTGTCAGGCTTGTAGTCCTTGTACCAGTCATGGATGAAGTCTATGAACTGGCTTTCATGCTCTTGCTTGACTGTAATTCTACGTCTGTTGAGTTTACCACCAGTGGGGGTGTCATTGGCTACATGTATACTAGCTTGGATTGGGCTGTGGTCAGACATAAGATCAGTGACAACATCAGAGCTATGAGTTGTGTATAATAGATTAAAGCCAATACATTTGTCTAGACCCCCGCCATAGATGTGTGTTGGTTCATTATTACCTATAATTTGAACATCTTCATATGCGCTGAGAAGTGAGATAAGTCTCCTACCACTGGTGTTAGTGGTGGAGTCACCTAATTTCTTGTGTCTAGTATTCAGGTCACCCTGAGCCCACTGGACAGTGGGCTCAGTGTGTAAAAAGTCTGGGAGATCTGTGTACTGAAGCTGATCCGAGGGAGCATAGG